TACCACTACCTAGTTTATCTAGATTCAAGCATAGATACCACAACAAATGATTCAATTATCCAAATACCATGAAGCTACGTCTCGTCTGCTTTGATCGTGACCAACGTTCGTAACGCCTCTTGATTGATACTGCCGTGTCTCGGGATTAGCTATTGCCGTCGACGTCAGTTAGTCCATTGCCACTCGAACAACATTGGTTCCAGTTTGCCCTCCGGACGTTGCCCGGAGTTGCCAGCAGGCTGAGGTAGCGCTTACAGCAACTCCCGGGTTTGACTCGGAGGCAAAACCAAACTTTACACTTTGGATTCAGTAGTCGCCAAGATCCAAATTCACCCGTTCAGCAGACTGGTATTGCCGACTGCAGGAATCCGACCATCAAATCAATCAGTCAGCCACCGGCGGAGTGCTGTCCGGCCTCGCGAGCCTCAGACACACTACTTCTTGATGGTTGCTCCGTAAACTTTACCCCGCATGTCCCCCAGGATTTTGCCGTCCCTGTCCCCGGAATGCAAAAAAGGCACTATTGCGACGCAACTAGACAACCTGGACCACCATAAACCACGCCATCTCATCTCTAACCGGGTCCTGACAAGAGTCTCTTTTGTTTCTTTGCACGGTCTCAGTCTCGGCTTGCCCCAAGAGGAAATCCCGGACAGGAATGTGCAACCGCTCATGCGCCGCTTCGGCCTCCCAACCTGTATCCGTAAGCGGCTGCGTTCCTGATGCACTACTTCTTTTGTTGGTTGCATCTTTGCGGCTACCAGGGGTCCAATTTCTAGCCGATTTTCCGCAACTCTTCACTTGACTCTCCGGCCCGGGTAACACGCCACCGGAAAACTCTATCTGGGCCTTTTCATCATGGATCGTGACGAACCCCATGGGGAACCACGTTGACTCGGGGCCATCCAGAAGCAGGGTTCGCGACGGTTGGCGAATCTAGGTACCGTACTTCTGGGCAAGTGAGTCAGGATCCGCACAGGGTGTTCGTTCTAGACTTATGCAAGAGAAGCCATTCCTGCTTTAGGTGCGTCTTCGCTAGTAATACCATCCCAGACTGTTGATTCGTGTTCTTTAAGTGAGATACACCAAATTGTTACGGATAATCAGGCTTGATATGTATGCTTGAGAAGTGTATAGAAAACGGGAGAAATCGATGGATCTGAACTATCAATCTCCTAACACCTGGAAGCCAACTTCTATCATACACTATGATCACGGCTTTCGAGTCTCTCGAGCACCCAGTGAGGTAAGCTCACATGTCCCCAAGATTCCGAGTCTGAATTCTAGCCTTCTCGGCTATTTCATGCGCAGTTTGCAGCTTCTCAATGACTCCGTCATAGTGCGAACGTCTCTCCATTGTCTCGTCATCCTCGCGAGCGAGCCTGTGAACTTCTTCATCAGTCAACGTGAAGACCCAGTCCGTGGACAATCCCAAAAGGGGCCCCTTGGAGAAAGATACGAAATCTTCGACAATATCGTTGGTGGTGTATCTGATGAAGGCCTCGAGAGAAAGCTGGAAGACGTGTTAGAAACTTCTTAAGATGTGGCTTTGCAAGGGGCTCGTCTTACTTCGTAGTAAACTTTAACAACGTCATGCACATCATTAACCATGTTGCCCTCGATTGAGTGGTGTAATTGATGGAAGAGAGTCCTGGAGCTGCTCAGGTCCAGAACTTCGAATGAAGCGAAGCTGGCGCCAATCGCTTTGAGAAGTCGAACAGTGCGTAGAGCCTGCAGCCTTTCGTGAAACCTTGCGTCTGTTGTCTGGAGGTGAGCTTCTCTCTCGCGTCGGCAGTGCTCTTTGAGCTCTCGCAGGGCTTTTTGCTTGGCTTCTTGCTGAAAGTGGGTAAGAGCTCGTGCCAGCTCCTCATACAGAGTTTTCGAGCAATTGTTGGGCGAACAAACTTCTTCGAGAATCGAATTTGAGGCCCTTTCTACATCATTGGCTATGTTCTCAATGTGATGTTCTGCAATCTGTTGCCACTTCTCTGATTGCGCTTTGTAGAGAATCTGGATGACCTCTGTATTCACCATCCCGGGGAGTTCTGTTGTCTGCCAAATATGAAGCTGCTTACGGATTTCGTCCACGAAGGACGCGGCGTGGACAGACTGTGTTTTGATAGGCTGTTGAGACGGCGGAGCATGTCGCTTCGTTGGCGGTGTTGCTGGTGGTGTAGTAACTTGCTCGTGCCCAGTTGGTGTCGGAACTGTGGTTGGTTGAGGATTTGACCATAAGGTGATCGTGTCGGAGAGCTGGGCTATGGGGTCAACTCCATGGTCTTCAAAGGTGTGCGTATGCCCGCGTGCAAGCATTTGAGCGGTGAAGCTTTCGTTTGCGCGACGAACGAGTCCTCTGACCCGTAGACTGTCTTTGGTCAATGATCCGGGACTCTTCAGAGTCTTTGTCGCAACAGTGTGGTACTTCTCGACCACATCCCTGATGTACTGCTGACGTAGACTATGACTTGGACGAGGTTCTCCTAGGCTCTTCCTGCTGTCTTTGGCATCCGAGAGCAACTTCCGGACTGACTCTTGAATCGCGGGAAAGTTTCCTCGAATTTGAGCGCAAAGAAGATTGCCGAGGTATTTCTGAAGCTGTACGGAGCCTCGTCGAGTTTCCGGGACCCTATCCCAAGGCGAGCGACTGAAGAGTTTGCGTTCAGCTTCTTTGAAATCAAGCTCTTCATCGTCGGCTTCGGATCGATTTCTCACTACAAACCAGCCGTCCTTCATAGATCTTGAAGAGTCTTTACCATATCCACTTGCGATGTCAATGACCTGATGAGGATTAGTAGACTTCCAGTAACACGAAGTCTCAGTCGCAGCTTACCTCGTTTGGATTCTCCAGCCTGTCACACTTAGTGAAGACTCCAACAAGACGACTTTTGTCGACAAAATTGGCGGCCATCTTGAAGATCTCTTGCGTAGACAAATCAGCCGTAGCGGCGGCCACGCAACTGCTACTCATCAGCCTTATGAATGGCCAAACCGCGAGTATCAACTGACATGACAATGTTCGCTGTTTGTCTCATGTACTCCTCGACCATCTGTCTCACACCATGCTCTTCATCCTCATTGACATCATGAGCATAAGAGAAGATGCCAGGTACGTCAAGAATGCTAAAATGTGATCGGGAAGGGCCTGAAAGTTCTATCCGAAGAACTTGAGAGGCAAAGTTTTTCGTCGCATGTCCTTTGCCTCTCTTGATGCCCATGTACTTGGTGGTGATCTACAGTGTTTGTAAGAGATGGCGCCGCGTAAGAAACATGAAGGATTGGACAGGGCTTACAGTTTCCATAAGCTGCGTAAACTCTTCGGCGCCAAGATGATCAGTTACATAAGGCGGGAATTCTTTGTACGTATCATCCGGTGGATAGCCAAACTTGTCGGTAACATCAGGCTCTACGATTGTCACCTTGACGGAGGTACGACTTCCAGGCGCGGTTCTCCGAGATACGATCCTTGTTGCGAAGCGAGTGCAGCAGCCTGAACCGACTGGAAAGGGAATATCGGTCAAGCTCTGGAGTAGTGACGACTTCCCGGTGGATTGACCACCGACAATGACCAGCTGAGATACAGATCAACTTGCAAGCTTTAATAAGGTGCTGGGGGATAGGCTGATCTTACCTGAGGAATGGCCAGCTCTTGGCTGACTCCACAGGATTGAAGCTTGTCAATGGCATCGAACAGGACCCTGCTGCTCTCACTATCGAATGGATTCTCGGGTATTAGATCAGCTTTGTCTTGATAGTGACTGTTGTCGTAGCATGGAGACACAGCTCCAGAGCCGGCGGCATAGTCGACCTGCGACTCGGCACCCTGCGACTCGGGGTAGGTCCCAACTGGAGATATGGGCAAACCTGACAACTTGCGTCCGAACTCGAACAAGCCAGGCGCGGTTGTGAGGGTTGTGAAGGTTGTTGGCCGAGCCATGCTCAATTGAATAGGGTTACTGTAAAAAAGGAGTGATAAGTTACCGGTTGATGAGAGTGAAAGATGAGACGAGATATGACGATTTTGGTGTGCTGTGAAGACTTGCTGTGCGTGTTCATCAACACAAAACACAGCGGGAATGAGACTAAGACAAGTTAAGATATCTTTATACTAAAAAAAAGGAGAAGAATCTCAACGCCCATTTTCCTGTGACTGCCAATGTTAGTAGGCCTAGGGGTAAGATTCTATCAATAACACTTGGCATTTTGGGCCAGTGAAGTTGACTCGACGAGGCAGATTCATTGCAGGTACGTGGCGTGAGGGCTATGATCTTGGCATTGTGAAGCAACGTTGAGCAATCGAAGTGGACGATGATTGAATCACCACCTCAATTGAGATGTAGCGGCCGATTCTGAATGCAGGGGTTGTTTGAAGTCGAATGGCACCATGTTGTTGGTAGCAGGTTGGATGAGGGGCCTTTAAGGAGGCCAGGAACGAACCAATCTAGTTCATCAACCAACGAATGCTTATCTACCCCAAGAGACCCAAGATAGTGGTCGCGAAACGAGCTGAGCGCGATCCTGGAATCGGCCACGCCGATGTAACCACATTTTGAATGCAGTCAATAGAAATGGGTTCTTACCGCCGTGTCGGGCCGCCTCGGGCTGGACCGCAACGGGCAGGTTACTCCGCGTTGACCGAACCAACAGGACTCTGGTGTGAACTCCCCTGTGAATCCTCGAGGATAGAATTCTCGAAACAATTCTCAAAAAGGTTAATGAGACCGCACTATGAAACAACCCAGCCTTTTTGTGGCCACAATCAACCAAATTCTGCTACCAAATTTGGATTCTGGCTAGAAGTATTTTTCGACTAGCAAGAGAAAAGAGCCCCTACATGGGGGCTGAGCCTCTCGTCGGTTGATGAAGGGGCCGGCACAGCACAGTTTTGAACAACATTGAGATCTGGCAACGTGGGATATGTATGCCCCTGAGTTTCGCTCTTGGTTCAGAAATTGAGATCATCGAGTGACCGCTGAATATAACACCACAGGCTTCCTTCCTCGTTACGCCTTCTCCGTGTGTCTTGCGGTCACAACAACCCCGGCCTTTTCGCCGTCTTCTGGCGTAGCCTGAAACATGTCCTCCGCCTTGTACTTGCCGAATTTGCGCAGCGGGACCCCTTCGTTGAACATCCGGTCGATCTGTTCGAGAGACTTGCCCTTGCATTCGGGGATGCAGAACCACGTAAAGACAAGCGCCAGCACCAGGATTCCCGCAAAGATGAAACCGACTTTCGAACCTAATCCTGCGCCGGGAGTATAGAGCAGGTATGGGATGCTGAAGTTGACGAGGAAGTTGGCCAAGACGTTGACCATTGACGCCGTTCGTTGAGAGGCGTCGCGCAGTCGGAGGGCCGGAATCTCGGTCGTAACGACGTAGTTCAGAGGCGCCCATGCAAAGACGTAGCCGGCGGCAAAGATCGTTAGCATGGCCACGATGCTCGTTTTGACGGCGAATGATGGTTCGGCCACTGTACCCAGGGAGCCCATGGTTACAATGGCGGCAAATTGCCAAACTGCACCGATCAGGAGGAGAGGTCTATGAGTTTATGAGATTAGTACACTTATGGCCCAGAAGGCACGACAGAGACGGTCTGTGGTAGAGATCTACATACCGACGTCCCACACGATCATTCAGGTAGAGTCCGACGAAGACCATGCAAAGGTTTACGACGGCGTTGATGATGGTCATGGTAAAGGGGTTAACGGTGCCAATGTCCTTGATGAAGATTGCACCGTAGGTAGAGGCGAAAGCCTGCCCGGTCGCTTGCTGGAAAAAGTTCATGGCCATCACGATACCAGTTCTCTTCAAGTTGACACCCTTGAAGAGTTCCATATAGTTTCCTTGTTCGACTTCCTGTTTCAAAGCGTACTGGAGGGCAGCGAACTGTTCATCGATCTCGGAGTCAGAGATAGTGCCGGCTCGGAGTTTCCTTAAGGAAATTTGGGCTTCTTCGACTCTGTCCTGGGTCAACAACCAGCGAGGTGACTTGAATGAAAGTCAGTAGGTGCAGTCTATCGCATGGGGGGTTGTGGTCGACATATGCTTACCTCGGGGATGAAGAAGATCAGGCCCATGACGATGACAGGAATGACATAGAATAAGCCCATCGGAATCCGCCAAGATGCATTGCCATCCAGGGTGCTGGTTCCTCTGCAGATAGAGTTGACAATCAGAGTGCCAAACTGGACAAAAAATTGTTAGTTGAGCAGGCCTGTTACCTTAACTACTTCACTGACTGGAGACAAAAAGCTTACCATCAGACTGAATTGGTAGGAGCCGACTGCAAAACCACGAATCTCCGAGGGGACAATCTCAGACTGATACACTGGGACCACAGCGAGTTCCATACCAACGTAGATGTCTGCATGCTCCAGTCAGCAACTCTGATGCAGGACGAGGGAGAAACCGCTTACAGTTCAGAATGCGTGCAGCCATGATCTGCTCTCGGGTACTTGAAGTAATCGCGATTGTTGCAGGGATGACGGCCCACGCACTCATTCCAAACATGCACCACCGGCGACCCCAGCGAGCACTGACGAGGCTACCGATGATGACCCCGGCCGCGAAGCCGATGTAGTTGAGACTGTTGAACAAGGCGAGCCAGCCGGTGGGAAGCTTCCACTTGCCAGTTGTGGGGTTCTGGTCGCCAAACTGGCGCTGGAACGCGTCCATCGCCTGTGTTGTTGAGTAGCCGGCGTTATCGAAGCCATAGTTGAAGGTCGAGACGGCAATTACGGTAAAGGCCGCAGCCAGGGTGCCGTTGAAATGTTTAAGGATTCGGTTGGGCGCCATCGCGAAAGTGAGACCTCGGAGATCTTTGTGCGACTGTTCGAATAACCTCAGCTCCTTGCCTCAAGTGACAGGGTGCTCGGGCTGAAATTGGCGATGCATTCTTTGCCCGGTCTTTATGTATTCAGACGCGTTGAAGGAATCAAACTCTACGCCTCGTGGTTATTACGTTACTACGTCGTTCCCTGTCAAGTGGAGCCAGGACTCCCCGTTGATCTGAGCTAATCACCCCTTTCACTGGCAATAGAGTCGTCCGATCAGACGCACGAGACGAACCAACACATGGCCGAGGAGGTTTCCCCAACTTGGGGAACCCACTGGGGAAGCAAGCCGTTCACGGCGCTAGGGACGAATTCCTGGAGGTGAGTGGAGGAATGGAGAAAGCCACGCTGCGACGGAGCGACCCAGCGTACCAGCAGAGAGTCCAGAACGAAAATCTTTTGCGGGTGAGGAACCCGGTGACCGCCCGCTTGGGATTTTGGCGTCCAACTAGGGTGGCCCCCGGGGCCCGGAACTCGGGCGGATGCGAGAAAGACGAAATCAACGCGGAACTCGGGCGGAAGACATGTCACCTCTTCTTCCCCCGACTTCCCACCCCGTCCCCCGACCTTATGCATCTTCACTCTTTTGATCAGAAAATACTGCGGGTAAGACTCGAACATGGAGACGCCTAATCCATATCGCGCTTCGGGTCGGCCCCGAAAAGGGTTGCAGATATGTTTCCAGTGCCGGAACCGCAAGGTAAGTCGCGGTCAACTTGCACCCGGAGTCTCCCTGCCGCGGTCCTTCGGGAAGAGGGTCCCCTAACCCGTAGCCGATAGGTCCGATGTGACGGCGCACCTGGAGGTTGCGAAAATTGTCGTCGGCTCAAGTTTCATTGCTCCTTTGCAGCACCTGATCAGTTGCCGGATGCTGCAAATTCTTCGACTCCTAGCAGCAGTGACCCAAGCCATCTGAGGCTGGAGAAGCGTCGCGTGCGTACTGCTTGCATACAATGTCGTGACAAGAAGACAAAGTGCTGTGGCACGCAGCCCTCATGTCGGCGATGCTCTCATCGCGGTGTGGACTGCCAGTACCCAGATGTGTCTAAGTCTTCATCAACCAGAAACCCAAATTCGGATCTCCGACACCAACCACCTGCTACAGTGCGTGGTGGTTCGGAAAACAGCATGGAAAATAGAACTTCATCTATGAATCGAGATTCCTCCGTTGCGCATTCCCCAGCCTCGTCACTTGGGTTGTAAGTTGAGTCCCTTGCAAGTCTACTTGGCAATTCCCTGTGTGCTGAAGTTTACTGAAATATGTCCTGTTATGTAGTGAGTTGAACTCGAACAAGACAATCATCAAGCAACACATCGATGCTTTCTTCGACTTTGTCTATCCAATACCCTGCTATGGCTTCATCCACAAAGCAACCTTCTGTCAAAGCTGGGCACAGGACACATACAACCCGCGCCTTCTGAAGGCAATGTGTGGTCTGACAACGCGCTATATTGCATCAGGGGACAGTAACCGTCTGCAACAAGCGACTAGCTGGATCCAAGAGTCGGAGATGCAGCTCTTTATGCGGCTCAGTGAGCCTTCCATGTCGGATATCGAGGCACTTATGCTCACTACACTGGACCACATCATCGCTCGTCGATTTAGTAAAATGCTAGTATCTGCTTGCCTTGCAGCAAGACTAGCATTCATGATGCGACTCAACTATGAAGATGGCCGCCTAAGCTTCCTTACTCAAGAGCGTCGCCGGCGTCTCATGTGGGGGATCTACACCATGGAGACGCTTTACTCCAGCGGAAGAACAGAATTCACCGGGTGTCCGAAGGAAACAATACACCTGCAACTTCCCTGCCACGAGCGATCTTTTACTCTGGATATTCCTGTAATGACAGAACCTCTGAAGCCCCCGGAAAATCAATGTTCTCTGGAGCTAGGTCTGATGGCGTATAATATCCGAGTCCTCGACATTCGAGATCGAATACAAAGGTACAGTATCAAGATTTTATTGCTGCCTTGACGGTCTGTCGGCCCCAAGCTAACCAGTCTATTTAGGTTATCGCACACAATCACACATCATCGGAAGCCCTTAGTTGAATGTGTTTCGCTCCTCAAAGGACTTGTGGACGAACTCGATGCGCTGCGCCGTTCGCTACCGCCGCAATTTGCATTCGACAAAAAGAACCTCTTTCTCCGAGCCTACACCCCACAACGCACCCCTTTCGTCATGTTCCATACATGGTGGCATCAGTGCCAATGCGATATGTACAGGTTTACGATACCGGGCTTTCGGGAAGGTCTCCCCGTGGAAGAGTTGCAAACTCTGCCTCAGGACTTGGTCTCTTTCTGCAGAGACAAGTGTCTCCAGCATGCGCTTGCTGTTGCGAATATCATGGCAACAGTGAATGAAATGGGGAGAGACATTTTTATCACAGATCCGGCCTTGGTGATGTGTACTTTCCACTCTGCCCGTGTCATATCACGGCTTGGATCAAGCCAGTTCGCCAACTTGCCCAAGGATGTCTTGATATCCAAACTGAAGGCGTGCTCAGATATTCTGGAGACGCCAGCTGAGATATACCCCACCACCAAGCTTTTGCGAGGTGGAATTGCAGATCTCATACACGATGTGGAGCGTGACTCTGGGGACTCCAGCCCGCTCAGATCTAATTGGGAGGCCGAACAGCCAGGATCCGACAACGAGGCGACCGGGGCTCAACAACCTGGTGTGGAGAGAGGTACGCAAGGGTCGGTGACGGAGGTCTATTCAAAATACAGCGTCACAGATGAGATTCGGAAACTGAAATTCCAACAAGACGGTGAAGAGGACAGGGATGAGTACCAGTCAAATGCGCCGGCAATAGGGGTGGGCGCAGATGGTGTCACACCTCAGCAGTTCCTGATGACCGATATGTCAAAGGAGCATGGCCCGCAGCCATACATGCCGATGCCTCAAGATTTGACAGCCAATGGCTTTGGCTTTTCAGAAGCTGGCTTCGGCACAAGTGCGGCACCATACGATGTATCAATGACTCTGGGTTTTGAGCCGAGTTACGGGGAATGTCAGCCAGACTTATTTCTAGATACCTTCATGCCACTCCAAAACGACTGGAATATGGCTGATTCTGGTTGCTTTTGATCGTTGGTAGCACCGATCTCGAGATCTGGAATCCCAAATTCACAACGCTCTTGGCACTATTGTCATCTTGCAACGGTTTTCAGTGACTTTGTAGCAGGCTTCATGGAGCTATCGATGAGATCCTCAAGCCCTAAGCTTCGAGGCATTACGCAAGGTCTTTGTCTGAAGTCTCTATATAGAACAAATACTTAGTGCGTAGGTATATGTACATGTACCATCTGGTCAAGCCCGACCACGCATATGGGGGCCTTTACTCAAAGGCCAGTCCAGAACACGTCCTTCTCAAGCTCAAAGGAGCCATCTAAGATCGCGCCTCCTGCAACGATTGAAGCAGTATATCGGCCTCTTTCACAACACCAACTGTTTCTCTTCTCATCCCAGACAGCGGTGCTATATCTATCGATAGGAATTGAGACTCTTCTTCTCTCCCCTGGCTGCAAGAAGACTTTCTCGAATCCCATAAGCGAGCGAACGGGACGCGAAAATTTTGACTTGTGAGATGTAGTCGAGTAGTTGATGTACAGGCGGACAACTTCTGCGCCTGCCATCCGCCCGGTATTTTCTATGCTGATGTGAACTCTGGAGGACGATACCTGCATCTCCGAGATTTGGAAGGTAGTGTAACTCAGACCATGGCTGGGAGAACGTCAGCTTGCAGGCTTCTGCAAAAGTACAAGCAAGTCAACTTACCCAAATGGGAATGCAACCTCCATCTTTCTCGCTTCGTACCAGCGGTACCCAACAAAGATGTCTTCAGAGTAGTAGACCTTGCCATTGTCGCTGCCGAATGCAAGGTACGCAGGATTGTCTTCTAGCCGAGCAGGGAAGGTCATAGGCAATTTGCCGCTGGGGTTGATGCGTCCAAATATAACGTCCGCTACGGCGTTGCCCGCCTCATTGCCGCCGTACCAGCTATGGACCATCGTCCTGGCGCTATGCCTCCAAGGTAGGCTGATTGGATTTCCGGCTTGAGTAATCACGATAGTGTTCGGTTGCGCATCTAGAACCGCTGCGATAAGGTTATCTACTTGTGGCGGCATGTTCATCGTGTCTCTATCTTTGCCCTCCTTTTCCAAGTCCGCCTAGAGTAACTATCGTCAGCTTTCTGGGATGCAACAGTCGTTGAGAGTTTCTTACGTTTAATCCGGCAACCACAAAAGTGTACTTGCATCTCTTCGCTAGCTCGACGGCTCTCTGGATGCCCTCTTCAGGATCAATTTTTCGGCAACCACCTAACCGGCACGCGCCACCTGGGATCGCTAACAGTGATCCACCCTTCACCTTTGATGTTGCAGCACTGCCGGCCTCAACGCGAAGGTGGTACCGCTTCCCAGCTGTCATCTCATACGTTGCTCGCCTTTCGGCTGAGCCCTTGCCGAAGAACATGCCTCCCGGTGTCTGTTCTGTCGAGTTGTCAATGACGAGCTCATCATTGATGAATAGGTCACCAATGCCGTAAGTCGCCAAACCGAATTCGTACGTGCCGGTGTGTTCTGGAACGAAATTCGCACGCATAGACATGAAGAAAGTTTCTCCCTTCTTGGGATGCTCGTAGTCCATCAGTTGATAGGTGGTGTCCGGTATCGTAACACGATCAAACGCCATTCGCTGTTTGATGATATGCGGCTCGTTGAATAATTCGATCGTCACACCTCGCTGACCTTCATCATTGCACACGTTGTCTTCTGTGAAAGGCGGTAACAAGATATATCCATACACACCCGGCTCATGGTGTACTTCAGCTGTAGGAGGTAGTGAGTCCCGTATGCCCTTGAGTACGGAACTGGTGTAGTATGGTCGAAGACTCGCGCTGCCGCCTCCACAAGCAGCTGCGAGCTCAGCATTTGGCCCGATGATGGCCACTTCACTGCAGTCTTCGGTTGATATTGGCAATAGATTGGCAGAATTCTTCAACAGTACGATACTCTCGCCTGCCAAACGGCGATTCAGGGCCCTGTCTTCAAGAACATCCCGCATATTCTCTTCCTTCTCGACGCGAGCTGAAGCCGCGTCATTGACAAACTGTAAAACTTTTCGCGCTCGCTCGTCTATGGTGTGTTGGTGTACTTTGCCGGAGAAGACTGCGGCAAGGGCTTCTTTCTCTCTGTAACGACTAGGGCCGGGCATCTCAATGTCAACGCCAGCGTTGAGCGCTCCCTCACAAGAGTAGGTGCCGTACCTGCACGTGTTAGCCGATACACTGTTGAACGAATGGAGCATGAGACCTGCCAGTCACTCATAATGAGACCATCAAACCCCCACTCTTTCCGCAGGATGTCTTGGAGAATCATGGGGTTCTCAGAAACATGTAGGCCGCCAATTTTGTTGTAAGAAGACATCACTACTCTGGGATTGCTATCTCTCAAAGCGATTTGGAAAGGTAAGAGATAGACTTCTCGAAGTGCCCTGTCAGACATGCGCACGTCGAGAGACATCTTTTCGGTCTCTTGATCATTAGCCACAAAGTGCTTCAGAGCTGCCAGAGTCCCTCGGGATTGAACCCCCCTGATGATAGCAGCTGCAAGCATTCCACTCAAGTGCGGGTCCTCAGAGAAAGACTCGAACCCACGACCATTCAGCGGGGAGCGAATGATATTGACCGTTGGGCCGAGCCAGACATGGGCACCTTTGGCGTCGCATTCTTTGGAAAGCAGCTGGCCAGCTTGCTCGATCAACTCAGGGTTCCATGTTGCTCCTAGGCCGCTCCCACAAGGAATGCAAAGCGCGGGCACTGGGTTGAAGAATCGTGAGCCTCTGACGCCATTGGGTCCATCGGTGCATTTGATGGCCGGGACGTTGTGCTGGGGAAGAGGGGTGGAGTGCCAAAAGTCGGAGCCTTTACCCATAAGCTGTCAGTACTAGGGACTCAGCTTGATGGTTTTCTTTTCTTGGGGGATTCTCACCGGCAAGCAGCGAGACCTTCTCTGCGAGTGTGGCATTTTCGATGATTTGATCAACGTTGACAAGCTTTCTTGGAGGCGGTTGCATGTTGGATGAAATCAACTCGTTGTCGTGAGACACCATGTTCAACACCAACAACCAGTATAATAAAGGATCTCAAAAAAGATGAATAGAGAAACTATCGAAATCGAAATATGGAGTGAGCTCCTCAAACGAGAGCTGAGAGGTATACGGAGAGCTACTCGGATACCCGGGCTGCCGTTTCGGATGTCGGGAGCCGGAGCTGCCCGGAAGTCGCCGTATTTGGTGCGATGCACGATGCGAATGTGGAGTGAGCTAAAATAAGCTAGGTACATTGCGGAGTGGAAATTGCGCTGAGGGGCATGTAGGTCAGCCTTCCAATTGCATGTGATTAACCACTGTGCCACTGTAATAGTGTGAGGACTCGTCTTTCTCATGAATACAGTACGCAGTATTCCGCAAGTCGGGCATGAAGACATGAGCTACGACTTGAACAGCCTTGTGGCTTCTTGTGATACTTCAATTTATGAATGGCTGTTGCCGTCAGATTGTCGGTCGCGACTATTCCTTCCATGATTGAACTGATGGCAGAATCATGATATCCGACTGACAGAGAACGATGGAATGTTATGAACGTGGCGAGTATGATGGGACATGGGAGGAGGTGTGGAAGTCAAGTGAGTATTATTCGTAAGTTACAGTGGTTGATTCATGTACTCTATCTGAAAATATCCATATAGGTGATCCAATATGTTGAGCCATAAAATCAGCCAAAATGAGCAAGGGTTTGACGATGTCCACCGTTTGCGCTGACAGCAGCTCCGTTGACCCAACGTCCCTCTTCACTCGCAAGAAATCCCACGATATAGGCGATATCATCAGTGTTCCCAAGACGTGGACCAACAGTCATGTACTCGATCTGCTTGTCGATGAACTCCGCATGCAGTTCCCTCGCCTTAGCGAGCGCATCGGTCTCCGTGGGTCCAACCGCCACGCTGTTGAAAGTCATTCCCTTCTCTGCGGCAAAGGTGTCTGCAAAAGACCTCGTGAAGCTATCGAGCGCGGCTTTCGTGGCTCCGTACGTCATGATCGGGCTCGGATTGCCCACTCTACCGGCAATACTGGAGATGTTGATGACACGACCACCGTACTTGGGCGCATGCTCCATGAAAGCCGTTGTCAGGCTGACCGGGGTGTAGACGTTTGCGACCATGATGTCGTTGAAGTCCTTGGCTTGCAGCGTCTTGACGTCCGAGGTGTTGGTAATATCAGCGAGAATCGCATTGTTGACCAGAATATCAATAGTCGTAACTTTCAGTCCGTTCAAGGCATCCTTGATGATCTTTGGGGCGATTGTGGGATCGGTTGAATCCGCTTTGATTGCAACAGCATTTCTGACACCCAATTCGCGACATTGTGCGAGAGTATTATCGGCAGCGGCCTTGTTTGCCACGTACGTGATGGCGAGGTTTTCCACGCCCTTGCGGGCAAAGTGTACGGCAATTCCGCTGCCGATTCCTCGGGAGCCTCCGGTGACGATGGCAGTCTTGCCCTTCAAGGACCACGGCTCAGCTGGGGAATTGGTGCTAGACATTTTAGACTTGTTGACGATGTGTTCTGATGGGATGAGTTCGATCGTTGGTGGATAGCTTATATGGGACGTGAATGATGTTGGGAGAGATCGTTGGGTTTACTACCTCCAGACTGTAGGGCCCGACAGTCTTCATAAATAGTACGTTCGAACAATGTTCGCGAGTACGAGCGGTTTTGAATTTCAGACGGTGATATCACCGAAGCATATGTAGGTTTGTCATCTTCGTTCGAGCATGGCGGACCGCAAAGTATGGATCCGGGGTATCTCAAACGTCCGAGCTATAGACCGACCGCCAAGTCCGCAAGCGCAATGTTGATCGCCAGGGTATTTCTCATTCACTGATATGACAATAAGCATTATTCCGATTCAAGAGTATAGATGCAATGACATGAATGAATAATTCATACGGAGCCAGCAAACATGCCGTCTAGGTACGGTGTAACGGCGCTGTACTTCGTACTTGGTGGGAAAGGATACTTTCGTCCGTTCTACTATTTCCCAAAAATTGGACGAGTTTTGCGCAACACTGATCTACACACATTCAGATCTCCCCACTTTCAATTCTTGCTATGCAGTAAGCCATGTCATCTGCGCCTCTGTTCGCTTGTGTGTCAAACAAGACTTTGAGCGCTGGCTGCTTCGTCACTGGAAAGATGTGTTCCTAGTGGAGTTACTTGCGGAATTCATGCGGACTTGGCTAGTCCTAGTTCTTCTGTTAAAAAATTGCAGTACAGCTTCTCGTATCCATGCTCACTGATGATTCGATGTGAACTGCACATCGGTTCGGCGGAGTGACAACGTTGCATAATAACCGGGCCGAATTCACTTGACATTAGAAATATGCGCCATAGGCCATGTCAGCTTGGATCCTGAAGACCCTTGGAAGAATTTTGAGAATTTTGTCTCGGCATGGACCACTAAGGTTGTGTTCAATCGCCACCTGGGCAATACTCGAGACATGTCACTCGGGCCGTGAGTTGGTTGGCCACTCGTTCAGCACTACGGTTCTCAGTCTCAACCATGGTGGATTATGTCAGGTGCTGAGCCGGCCGGTCCAACACTCGGACGAACTGGGTGGGATACGGAGTTTGCGGAGGTTAGCGCCGGCACACCTTAGCGGAGCGGGTAGTCAGCTCCCCCATGTCACTGACCCGGGTCACGATCACGATTCAACGTTATCCTTTAGGCACATCCTCCTCCGGGAGGCCTAAGGGCTCCGATCCGGGCGAAAAGCTGCTTTTGATTAGCATTCTAGTTTTCGGAGACTTTCGCGCCCCCGTAATAAATAAGATCTACCCGACTATCCAATTCGCCCACTGACTTGATAGGGCGTCCACGGAAACCAAAGTGCTTCCCTCTCGTCGGAGGTATGACTTTGGTTGATTTTGTGTTCTATGCCGGTTTCTATGATAATCTTCTAACCTGGTAGAAGCCGTTGTGTTTCCAGAAATCTTCCAAGCAAGTATTAACCCCTCGATCTAGTTTTTCTTCTGGTTGATGCCGAACGTTGTGAGATGCGGCCAATCTAGAAAGCCTCATTAGCAAAGGACTCGATAATTACCAGTGAAGTAAGGTTGAAAGCTTACCGAAAGTCGTTCTGTCCGAATTAACGCGGGAGATTCGCGCTTTCTGTCCCACGCTTAGTATCTCTCCAACAGCTGATCCAAAGCAGTACCCATAACGTCCAAAGACAGGACTATACTTGGCGCCCTTGTCAACTCGGCGATCTTTATTCAGCTTCTTCCACACCAATCCACGATCGTCACTCGCAGTCTTGCCAGTTTCATAGTCAACAGTAATGCTCTGGCAACGATAACAATTGGCCGTCAGAGGCATCTGGACACCGCCGTCGAACGTCAACTCGCCCCAAAAGTCCTCTGCAAAGGGACCGCTTGCGCCTTTGACGACGAGGTTCGGGCGGAACTTTCGAACGTCCATCGTCAAGTCGCCTTCTAGGCGAGAAGAAACCTCCGCGGTGGACTCTTCAGTGACGACGAGGTAGTGTGCAAGGTCGTTGAAGACAAGACGCTCCTCGGGAAACCGGGCAAATGGGACGAATGACCTGAGACGTCTAGCGAGTCTAGCCTTTTGCAGACCTGCTTTGCTGTTTGGTGCCAAAGACCCCAGGACAGGTCGCGAGCCGTCACCAATATAGGCGAGTCTCGCCTCAACACCGAGGCGCTCCGAGAACCACGTCGCAAGTTCGTCGCCCATGTCGTAGGCTTTGGCCTGGCTCACGTGAAGGCTTGTGTCGATCACTTCTAGCCCCTCTGTACTTGGCGATAGGGCGAATCGGATTTCGTCAGTGGTGGTGATGTTCGCTTCGTTGATAGATTTGCCATGCTCCGTTCCCCGGCCGTGCCATTTTACTATGACTTCTCCATCGGTCGCGTTTTCTTGCCTTCCATCATGCTCAATTGAAGCCCGGAATAGTGCCATATAGAGATAGTAGCCGATGAACATGGTCTCATACGTCTTCTTGGATGGGTCGGTCTTATCCCGAATGACCTTTTGCAGGGAAAACGTCCTATCTCCGACTAAGCCGTACTTGCCCAAATGTGCTCGTTGCACAGCGCATCCTCCTAGCCCTTTGATAGGATATATGTATAGCTATGAAATTTCAATCAGAATCATTCAAATTGGCTATCTTGCACACTGGGAGGCCAAGTCGTACTTGTGTGATTTCTAAGGGTTCACTCGCTGGTTGCGGTGACCGGGCTAGCCGGATGCCCAAAATGAGAGCTATGATCGAGCAAGCTACCAGTGCAACGGTAGTGCTCATAGTTGTCAATGGATTGGGCGTCATCTGGACTTCAGCCCATGTCTCATTCGTTGCAGGGTCCATTGTTGACTTGTCGTGAAAAGCTCACTCTTTATTGGGGTCGGTCGTTTGTCTACTCGAAATTTTGCAGCCATTGGGTTCAAGGTGGATTATGACCGCCCACCGGATGGGCTTCCGACGCGTTCTTTGATCTGCAAAACAAGGTTTGATCCCGGATAACAGTTACAGCTGTCACACAAAACAGTAGACCGGGTCATTTCGACTGCCGCTAAACCCCTTGGGGAAACTAGATGGGCCAAATCCCGCAGACTTTGGAGCTTCGTCGAGTCAATCCAGCCCGGATCCCATCCGTGCTCATCCCCCTTTTCCCCCGCACAGCTTCCCCATCTACCGAATCCTTCTCGAGCACTTGGGAGGAGGGGCGTTGATACCAGACGAGAATCCTTACCCTGCTGATAGCAAACCACAACATCAGGCTTGGATCTCCACTCACTCGTCACTATCTGCTATCGCGAACGTCGCCGAGAGCTTACTAGTACCCAATTCGACATTGACGCAGCCTTATAAAACATCCAGCTAGCCGTCTCTTGACCGTTGGAGCCCCAAAGATGCCCACAAACAGAGTCAGGGTAGTCGAGGGATCTTGTTGGCCCTGCAAGAAGCGCCGCATCAAGTGCGACCTGACAAAGCCGCGGTGCAATCGTTGCGCCAAGATTGGGGCGGATTGCGACTTCAACGCTCGCCGCCTGAAATGGAGCACCCGGCCCACGATCAAGGCTCCGGCCATCTACCAGATCGCCACCAGAGACGCGCAGCTCGCGTCCTGTCTGGCTTCAGACGAACGGCGCGCCCTGGACTACTTCCACCACCGCCTGTGGCCGCTTCTCACGACGGCCCCGGAACCTTGCGCGGCCCCAATCTTACAGGCTCTTGAGCATCGGGTCGTACTTCTCGCGGCGTGCGTCATTGCGGATGCGCACCGGGTTCTCCAGGACGGGAGGAACAGTCGCAGTCTTCTTCGTATGAAGCGACTCGAGTGTCTTGCGGCCGTACGTGGTGAGGTCGGCGGCGCTCACATGGTCGATAAGACTTCACTCATGACCCTGTTGCTTGCTGTGCTCTTACTCTATTTCCACGACGGATACCTTGAATGCGCTCAGGCGTCTGCGTCAACGTCCAGTCATCATGGGGGCGTGAAGGCAATCATCGACAGTCTCGGGGGCATTCTCCCGGTCCTGGAGACGAGTCATGAGTCGATCCACATGCTCCTCTCCGAATTTGCGTCAACGGATCTCACAACTATCATGCTCAAGGGAGGGAAACCCTCGTTCCCTCACGAAATATGGGATTCGATTGAGAAGAGATCCGTATGGTGGGGAAGAGACATTCTTGGACGCTCATCCCTGGCCTCAGTTTTCCAGCAAATATCTCGGCTAACAGAGTTCCGAGATGCTCTGAACAACGGCACCGAGCAACTCTCAATGGAAACTATCCGCAAGTTCGAGACGGCCTTGTCTCCGATGTATGCCAAGATCACGGACACATGTTCAGATACTGGAGATGTCGATCCGGACTCGGAGGCAAACAACGATTTCACTTTAATTCGCGCCTTTCAGCATACGGCTCTCATCTACATGTATCGAGCTATTTGCGGCCTACCAGTCTCTCATTCTCTCGTACAGCAGCACGTTCTGCCGTGTCTAGAGTGCATCATCGATATGAAACAGCCGTCAAAGGTGCTAAATTGTGTCATTTTCCCTTTGCTCGTTGCTGGTGCGCATGTTCAGTCCCCGAGACACAGAAAAGCAGTTCTGGGTATCCTTCATATTATTCGTGATGAGATGCGGTTTGCTAGCTTACATACTGTCTCTGAGGTTTTGTGCGGTGTATGGAAGGCCGCTCGAGAGGACGTAACGTGGTCGGAAATGTACTCCGACTTGGCGTCAGATGCCGTCGTGCTATAATTAATTCAAAAAGGAAGTTTGGGGCTGGCAATAGATCATGTGGCTTCGGGCTTTCAAGATTTCTCTACTTGACCAGTTCACAGTTTGAATCCCATGTTGACGTGCACTGCCTTTGTCTGTGAGTAAGCAGCCAGACCAGCTTCTCCCAATTCGCGACCAATGCCACTTTGCTTGACGCCACCGAATGGAACACGAATATCAGAGTCATTCGAACTGTTGATCCAGACCATTCCAGATTCGAGGCGGGCGGCTACGCGATGGCACCGCTCGATATCGCGTGAGAACAACGCAGCGCCGAGTCCGTATGAAGTGTTGTTAGCCAAAGAAACTGCCTCTTCCTCCGTCTTGAAGGGCGTGATGGCGACGAAAGGACCGAAAACCTCTTCTTGGAAGATCCTCATATCTTTCTTCACGTCGGAAAAGACTGTTGGCTCGATGAAGAATCCTTTGCCATCCCCGACGTTCTTGAATGGAACTCCACCAGTCACAAGCTTGGCACCTTCATCCTTACCGGCTTGGATGTATCCCAGAATCTTCTCATATTGGACCTTGGTGATCTGTGGTCCCTGGAATGTGTCGTCGTCGAAGGGGTTGCCCACCTTGTTCTCAAGACATATCGCTTTGAACCTTGCAACATAGTCCTGGTAGACATCTTCATGAACCAGGATTCTGGATGTGGATGTGCAGATCTGGCCCTGGTTGCTCATGATGCCAACATGGCCCCATTTTGCTGCTTGGTCGAGATCGGCATCGCTGAAGACCACGAGAGGTGACTTTCCGCCGGTCTCTAGCGTGATGTTCTTCAGGTTAACGCTCGCAGACTTCATAATTTGTCTTCCGGTTGCTGTGGAGCCAGTGAAAGCAATTTTATCAACATCGGTATGAGAAACTAGGGCGTTGCCGGCTTCCCTTCCAAGTCCATTGACAATGTTGATAACGCCTGGAGGAAAGCCTGCTTCCTTGATCAGAGTTGCAAAGTACAGGACAGAGAGTGGCGTTTGTTCGGCAGGTTTCAAAACCACTGTGTTGCCACACGCCAATGCCGGACCGAGCTTCCTGGAAGTTGAATTAGTTCGTGCCTTTTAACTGTGAAGAAAAAATTTCACTAACCATGCTGCCATCATGATTGGATAGTTCCACGGAATGATTTGTCCACAAACTCCAATCGGCTGCTTGATTGTATACGCAAACTTCTGAGGCGTTGTCGGAATGGTCTCGCCGTGAATCTTGTCTGCCCAGCCAGCATAGTAGCGTAGCGTTGAGATTGTTTCCGCCACATCTTCTCCGAGGGCCACGCCATACGGCTTACCGCCGTTCCACGTCTCAAGGGTAGCCAGAGTCTCTTGGTTTGCCTCGACGAGGTCGGCGAGCTTGAACATCAATCTGCCCCGATCCGTAGCAGAGATGTCACCCCAGCCTGGGGCATTTAGTGCTGCCCGTGCTGCTTTTACAGCCTTATCAACATCTTCAGGTGATGCGGCTTCAACTGCAGCGATCTCAGATTCGTCGCTATGATGTCGTCAGTCTCGTGGTATTCGACGAGTAACTTCAACTTCTTATCGTACCTTGGGTTGATGGCAGTGATCCTGGATCCTGAGCTAGCCTTCACGAACTCATTGTTGATGAAGAGCCCTGTAGGCAGGGAGATCTTCGTGCCATTCGGCGCTGTGAGGCTCAAGGTAGCAGCTGACATCTTGGTGCGAACTCCGGAGTGTGTGGGTAAGGGGAAAGAAACCAAGACACGACTGCCGTAGTTGAGCAAATCAGGGCAGGGTGTCTTGCTTCAAGTCGAAGACGTGAGGCAGCCCGCCCTCTTATTATCCACGCAAACTGTCAATGCATGTCGGACAGACTAGGCAATAAATGGGATCATTATGTCTCCGCCATCAAAGTGTCCCAGACAAGTGGGGAAGCGGATCTGTGAAATTCTGCAGATCGTCAGCGACTAGCTATCAGACGGGGCCACACTGGCGGCTCGGAGATCCTGAAGCAGACAAAAGATGGACAAGATCCCGTCTCCTAGTCGTAAGTGCCCACCAGGTTTACATGTGTCCGGATGCTTCTCCCCACCTTAGTTACTCCAAGCTGTGCAGCGTCAATTTCAACCATCCCAACGCCAATGAGAGGGGTGCGGGGTTTCCCGCAGGAGCTGTCCGAATTAGGCAACTTTTTTGACCATTGGCGCGGGGCTGTTGAGGTGCAGCAGCACAGGGTGGTCGGATAGCTTGAATTAGAGGGCCGGGAAGTGGAAGCTCAACTCGGTGATTGCTTGACATGATTCCAAGTTGCGGATACGAAGCATGAGACATTTTGCCCAGTCCCAAGTCGGAACTGGATATCCGAGACAGGCAACACACCACTACATGTAGTGACGCTTAAGTTGCAGGTTGGTCGCATAGGCCTCAACTTTGGCCACGGCGGTCCATCACTACCCTGAGAAGGTTTCTCAACTGGAGCAACCAAGCTCAAGTTACTTAAACTTACTTCGGTGCCGCCAATCAGAATTTTGCCAACAGTGAGCTTACTTGCGGGTTGCGCCACCGCTGCATTTGCAGCCGACTTTGTGTCAGGATGAACTTGCGTCTTGGCTTGGACCTTCTACCAAAAGTACGGAAACTAGCGGTATCATCGTAAGCTCGCAATGATACGTCGGAGTATTATTGGTGGTTAGTTAAGGTGAAATTGAAAACTAACCTTTTTACACTCTCGGTATTCTACAGCCTAGCCATGGTCCCTTGAAGTCCACAAGGTGGTCCAAGGGCTGTCTGCAGTCACATAGTTGCATGTACTTGAAAGTATCAGAGTTGAGTGATTTTACAAAATTTCGCTCAGTTTTTCAAAACAAATGATGCACGGCGGAAGGCTATACTATTTTGCACTTGGTGACTGATGATGCTCTGAAGACAGATAGCCGATATGGTACATAAAGTACCCAAGACACCGCGCCAATGTTGATCGTGTCTAACTCACAAGATTGGAAAAGTTTCTCTTGCATCCTACATCCATGTTCCTTAGACGGGGATCAACGCTTCAACTTCGATTTCAACCTGCATCCCTTCCAATCCAAGCTTGCCAATTTGGATGCACGTCCAGATAGGTCTATGATTCGGGAACAGTTTCTTGAACGTCGTCGTCATGACGTCGAAACTCGAGTCCATATCAAGATGATAGGAGCGAATCGCGTAAATGTCTTTGAAGTTGAGGCGTGGGTGAACAGCTTGAAGAGCTTTGAGAGCATTCTCGAACGCAATAGCGATCTGCTTTTCGAGGTCGGTTGTGATATTCCCTTTCTCGTCCCAGCCGCCCTGACCTGATGTGCGAACGACGTTTCCGATCTTCACAGCTTGGGAGTAGTGGTATTGCTCCGCGTTGGACTCAGTCCCTGGATAGTTGAAAAATTGGGCAGAAGCCATATTTGGGACTGTAGAGGATTGTGGTAGGCTCAACCTGGTGTGCTTGAAAGAATCTAGAAGCAGTATTGATGCATAAGATTCGTCAGACGGGCAACAGTACCATAGTTAAGCTAATTATCCACGCGAAAGGCAGTTGAGAAGGGCAGCCAAGAGGCTCAAGTAGTTTGCATGCAGCTAGTGCGGGGGGTCTGTATGGTGAAGTAATGCCAAGCTCGTACCGCTTTAGTATTGCAGGATATGCTCTCGGGTTGCCGCTTTCAGATGACCTGTCTTACTCCTTAATCGAGAAAGCAAGTGAATCAACGATGAGGGCTGGCTTGAGTGGTGTTCCACAACGTAAGTCTCAAGTTGGTCCATCTTGTTACCCCTTTGGGAAGGATGTTGCTCGTAAAATAGAGGGGACGGCTAGATTTCCATTTTAACGTGATAATGAATCAATTCCTCCTATCTACCTTAGAAGCCCTCACACAACTCGGCTGAACTACTGCCCGAAATGCGATGGCTTGCACTCGTATTCGTGTCTCGCCAAATCGGAGAACCAAGATTATGTCCTTGGCTTGCCTCATGAGTAGCACTAGAACGAAGGGATCCTCTATGAGACTTGGTCGCCGTGACTTTCAAAATGCTTGGGTGTAGGGTAGAAATGTCAAAGACAAAAATGTATGCGGGCAATCCAGGTGTACTGGGTGGCCTACAAGGATTCAGCTGCGCGGTATTTAGCGCTGACAAGTATCACATGTATAGAATAAGCTTAAGCCTAGGTGTAACTGCATGTAGGTTTTCATAACACAAACGCAGTGTGGTTAAAAGACCTCCTTTACACGTGTGGAAAGAGCGAGAATTATTGCATTAAACTCTCTGTAAGACGTAGCTAATTTTTATGTAAAGACTCAGTGTCCTGAAAGGCTATGCTTTTCTACCATGTCCCAGTAATGAGGCGCCGCCATGCGTCGCAACGGTTTCCCTAAGTACATCATGACCAGACACAGTGCCCAGAATGTCACTCCAAGAACAGCTGTGACTATGAAGGCATCGCGAAGACCAATGCTATTGATCATCGGCACTACAGCATAGCTGAAAGCGAAGCCTGGGTATGGTTAGCTTTGAATCTGACGCCAAGAGGAATGACGGCGTCAACTTACCCATCGTGTTGCGAATAAGGATAGCTGACACGAAGCCCTCGCCAGCGAGGTCCTTGAAGCTGTCGAGGATATATGTGAACGCCATGCTGGTTCCCAGAGGGAGAGTGACAGAGATCAAGGCCAGCCCGAAAGCAATACCGACCCAGTGGATTTGGTATGAAGCCCCCACGCCGTATAGGATGCAACCGACAGGGTGGGCGACAATAGCCAGGAAGCATAACCAAAGACGATGCTCTGGTTCCATTACTCCTCCATGTCGGCGGGCCATCCACACTGACAAAGTATCGCTCGCCAAGCTTGATATCAGACATCCGATCGATACTCCAATCACCGAAGCAAGGTAAAAGAGGCCGATAACGTTGGAGCCAAAGTTGTATGGTGGGTTGCCAAGGATGAGAGCCAGAGACCCGCCAACTACGTTATACCACGAGAGAATACCTCCAACCAGAATACCGGCGAAAATGACGGAAGGGAATCGAAGGAGGTAAAAAGGCAATAGAGACTGCTTCAGCTGTCTTGGTTTTCTGTCGTCTTGATATCCCCATAGCTTGAATTTCGACCAGAAAGCTTTTTCGGGTGCTACATTGACGCGGTTCGGTATAGTGCGTGTCTCAATTTCAGAATTGACACTGGCTGCACCTTCCGCAGGCTGAGGCTTCTGGTCTTCGGTCCGCTCGGTATCGATTGCGCTCTTGTCGCTATCAAAGAGCCCCCGCTGCTGATCGGTGATGCCACCAACATCGGCTTGTGAACTAGGCCTGCAGAACATGGTCTCTTCGAAGAAGAGAAATGTCAGAATGGTTATTACACCACCTGTAATGGATAGGATGTACTGGATCCAACGCCAACCCAGGTCTTCGGCGATGAATCCTGTAGCGACTGGGCAGAGGAAGGCACCACACCACAACATCCAGCTGTAGATACCCATGTAGAAGCCTCGTTGGTGGACGAAATACAGGTCGTCAATTACGACTTCGATGAGAGTCTCCATTGGCGAAGAGACAATGCCAATGATGATGCGATTAACAAAGAACTCGGCTCGAGACTTGACGTAGGCAGTCCAGAGACTGATAAAGGTCATCGCGACCATCGAATAAACGAGAGTCGGGCGCCTTCCGTAGTTGAGCGCGAAGTTCTGGGTGAGCAGAGTGCCCCAACCGAGAAAGAGGAACATGAGGCCATTGCCAGTGCTAAGGTCTGCTACAGAAATGCCGGTGTCTGCTTCGATTTGCAGGTAGGCGGGAGACAGGCCGGATATGATTGCAGCGCCGAAGAAGCACCATGCCATGACCCAGGAGATGTTGAACGTCTTGCGCTTTCGCGTCCATGATAGCGGATCGTTCGGGTCGCTGCTCGGTTGTGGAACAAGAACGATGTTGGTGTGCTCCGAGCCATGCTTCACGTCGAGGACGCCTTGTGTGTCGACTAGCTGCACCGTGCCCGGAATATCGAACGTGATAGTCGTGTTTGTCATGATGGTTGCTGGCACGGCCCATACGGGAGACCATTAAGAGCCCCAGCGGTGGCTCGACAATGATATACCAACCGGCCAAAATTCTGCTCTTCCTCAATCGACTGAAAATTCTACACTACCACCTCCTTTTCTGCCGATTCAAAGCCAACGAGGCGGACTGGTAGACCATTAAACTGATGCATGGACCATCGGGCCCTTTTCCAAACTCTTAGGCCTCATCCATGCCGGCGCTAAACCGTACGAGGGTAGGAGATGGTCCAGCACTGCTAAGCCAGCCCCTCGACGCATGTGTTAGGCGTAAATTAGTTGGCTGCGAATGCCACCTTTCTAGGCAGTCTTATCAATGCGGTATCTAAGTTCTGCAGATTTACTGCCCAACGAGGCCGTGCACGCGCGAGGATTTCTGCGTCCGATGCAACGTGAAGACACAAGCCGGCCCCGCGATGATTCACTTCCGGACGTTTGGTCGTGGGGGGAATGCATCCACTTGAACCCGGAGACGCGGTAAGACGTGCATCTTTCGATAATGCAGGTCCTTTGATGGACTCGACGAGCACTGAATGAGGTTGCAGATCTGGGTGCCAAAGAAGTGGTCCAACATGTTTCCGAATTTGGCCATGCCTATCTAGCAGAGTCGCCCGGTTTGATAAGACGAGATAACCCCATGGACAGGGAATCAATGTCTGCAATCTCTACGTTAGGTACGATGTAGTTGGACGGGACAACGTGCATCACGCGATTGTTATACGGGCATGGTGGCATGGATTATTGCGGCTTCGAAGTGCGCGTGACAGTTGATACGACCCAGGTGCGAGGCCATTGGTACGATGGAAATATTGAAATCAAACATTCATGCCGGTGATACGTATGAGTACAACATGAAGTTCCGATACATACTTACGTGGCAGTCAACATAGGTATCTATCACCAATGATTGATTTCTGCGAAGAACGAAGAGACAATCACTTTGATATGAGTCTCCAGTCTCCTTGATTGACAGTCACACTCATAAACGGTATCGGTGCGGATAGTAAACTTTGATATTTTGATATTTGACAGACTTGGCAACTTCAATCAGGTTATAACTCCAGCAGCGGTCTATTTGTGAGGAGAATCTTCTTCCCCATATTATTCCAAGTAATCATGTAAAACAGCCCCGTTCTTGTGAAATAACCGTTATCAACATTGAAACCTCCCTATCTTTTCTTAGGCTCTCAATCTATCAAAACGTAGGCTTATCCGCGGGATCAACGTTAAACGAAACGTGTGGTATCCGAAGTCTCAATCCACATCAATCACAACCTTCAAAGCACCATGTTTAGACGCTTCTCCGAAGGTATCATATGCCTTCTCCATGTCACCAAGCTTGAAGTCTGAAGCTCCTGTCAGTCATGTTCTCATGGAATGTTGCACGGTCTTAAATAGAAATTCTTACGGTGAGTAATAAGTTGTGAGGGTTGCAATTTGCCAGACTGTACAAGCTTCAAAAGCATTGGTGTCGTTGTTGTGTCCACAAGTCTAGTGGTGATTGCTGTATGATGAATTAGAATTGGCGTCGATGTTTTCGATCACCCAACAGCTCGACATTTTGAACTCACAGATATTCTTGTCCCAAAGATTTTGGAGGTGAAGGTCAACCTTGGTTCCATGAACTCCCACATTCGCTAGAACACCACCAGGTGCGAGCAGGCTCTGACAGAGATCAAAGGTGGCGGGAATTCCCACCGCTTCAATGACCGAGTCAGCGCCCTTGCCCTCCGTCAACTCTTTGACTTTGGCTGCAGCATCTGCCTTGGAGCTGTCAATAGTCTCGGTTGCGCCAAATTGCCTTGCAATATCAAGTCGCTTAGGATCCATATCGATGGCAATGATTTGAGACGGGGAGTACATCTGAGCCGTGATAATAGCCGCCAGACCGATCGGACCTGAGCCGACAATAGCGACGGTACCGCCCGGCTGTACCTTCCCATTCAGCACACCACATTCGAGTCCTGTCGGGAAGATGTCGCTTAACATCACCAGTGAGGAGTCATCGGCGCCGTCCGGGATCGGGTGGAGACTGGATTCGGCGTGGGGAATGCGGACATATTCGGCCTGGGTGCCGTCAATGGTATTCCCGAGGATCCACCCACCGGACGTGCAATGACTGTACATGCCCCGGCGGCAGTACTCACACGTAGCGCAGCTGGAGATGCATGAGATGAGGACTCGGTCTCCTTCCTTGAATCTTGTGACCGAAGCTCCCGCTGAGTGGATGATACCTACACCTTCGTGACCCAACGTGGTGCCTGGCTGGCATGTCGCTACGTCGCCCTTGCGAATGTGGAGATCAGTGCCGCAAATGGTTGTCTTTGTGACTTTGACTATGACATCGGTTGGCTTCG